TCATGTGCACTTTATTAATATTTATTAAGCTTTTCCTATATATTCTACATGCAGTTTTAGCTATTAAGGTACAAGTGTATGCCTCCCCCATACCTTCCCACTAAAACCCATGTAAAACTCTTTCTCTCTCTTCATCTCTCATCAAATGAGCATGACTTAGAAAGACCAAGGAAAGGCTCTGACCACGCGATTGCCTATTCTGGATTTCATTTCTGATTTCTAGATTTGGCTATATTTAGCAAACCTATAAACGTCATCATGCCCGAAGCCAGGAAGAAGACACCATTCACAAACCACCCCCTGAAAATCTGCAGTTGCCACTAAAAATTCCAGACTTCCCAGCAGACAAAGACATCTGAAGTGGGAGCAATCAAATTGGTGTTTGCATCAGGAGAAGACCTCAGGTGCTTATAACTAACCTCTCAGTCTGGCACTAAAGCTCTCCACAATCTTATTTCCTTTTCTTTCCTCTTCAGCATACCTTTTGATCTGTTCAAACATCCTCATTATCTCCCCTGACCACTCCTTTCTGTAACACTGGTCGTCTCACTCCCCTACCTGCTTCTGCTTCAAGCTTCTGGTTTCTCTTTGAACCTTCAGGACCACTCCTCCCCCAGACACTAGCCATTCCCTTGCCTCACAATTAGGTGAGGCCCAGATGAGAGCAGTGCATACCGGATACCTATTCAACACTCAAAAGGCCTCGGGTCACTGAAAAAAGAGAGCAGCAAGCATAGCTAGGAAGAAAAATTGTAAAAGAATTTCCTTCTACCATTCCATGCCCTTCTTTCCTTGATTCTGGAAGAGAAACTTGTACTAACCAAAACAACACTAGACTGGTCAGTATTCCTGGAACTCATCATACTGTTTCACCACTCCACACTTCTGTGTATGCTACTCTCTTCGCTCAGAAGGCCTCGGGTGACCCTCATCTGGAACATCTGTTGGGCAATTTCCATTCCTGTTCATAACTCACTCCATCTGTAAACCCTCACCCCAGGCCCTTTCTCTTTAGCAACTCTTAACATCTTTGACCACCTATTATCTATCAAGGGCCATGCTAAGTGCTGGACACTTATCTCAGGGTTATTTGTTGGTCTATGAGCTCCTTAAGGAGGAATTCCCATTCATCTGGCCCAAGTCCCACTCATCTGGTGGCTCTGGAACCTAATTCAGTGCCTGCCACAAAGAAGGCACTAATGAACATGCACTAAATAAATACATGCATACGACATATTGATCATGTTGATACCACCAACACGTTATATGTAATATATACGTTTGTTTTTGGTGGTTTCACACACATTCTAAAGCCTCGCTACCTTGCACTGTAGGTAGGAGAAACTGTCAAAGTTTACTGATTTGGAAACTTAACAGTTCTCATTAGCCCAAGACCTGGATACCTTTAGTATAGGTGAGAAACAGTTCTGAAGCACCACCTAGTCCACCTTATATAGAACTGAAGCAGTTCTGGAATGTTGTCTTTGACACAGCAGGTATTCAAAAAACATTTATCTATTGTTCAAAGCTTAGATGTGAGGGCTCATATAGCTAAGGAGGTATGATAAAAGCACAGCTTCGCAGTCCTTCTTTAAACATTGTCCCAATTTTCCCATTGAGCTCTTTCTGGAAGCTTAAACCAAATCTTCCCTGGACATCATACGCCCATAACATCAGACATGACCTAGCACCTCATTTTGGCATCTTTGCTGAGAAAATATCCTTCTCTGCACCCAGCTAGAGATAGCCATATCGCTCCGAACTCATGACTAAGAGTCATCACTTCCCTGAACAAGCCCCTACTGGACTAGTTCGTGAAACTAGGCGAGCAGGGCTAATGCTACTGATGGAAAGACGGCAACCCAGGCATTTTCCTGTTGTACTCCAGCACCTCCTTCTTGGGGTTCTTGCAATTCCTCACTATAGACCATAGTGAGAAAAAGGGATGATCAGTGGGATACCATGGTAATAGGTCTGTGTTTTAAGCTCACCATACCACCCCTCCCTGAACTGCCTGGCCACTGCCCTGGGCACGCGATGCACAGCTCTCATCATCCTCAGAAAACTCTGGCTGGGACTAATGGCCAGGTCAGCACCTGGGGCCTCAAAGGGAAGAGAGTCCTGGAAGAAGCATGGCTACCGAAACATCTTTTGACCCTTTAAGGAGCTGGTGAGACCTCTGCAAAAAACATCTGGCTCAATTCACCCATAATGGAGGAAAGGATCCCAGAAGATTGCTGCAGCCAAACTAGCCTTCACATTGCCACCCCCATCTCTCTTAACTATATACATGATGTAATGTTGCTAGTAAATAAGAGCTATCATTTATCGTACACCTGAAAAATGTTAGATCATTTATAATACATTGCCTCATTTAGTCTTCAAGACCACTCCATAGGGCAGTGGTTCTCAAACCTTAGTTTGCATCAGAATCTCTCCGGGAACTAAGTAAAGCCCCACATCCTCAGTTAATGGGGTGGGCCTGAGATTTTGCATTTCTAACAAGCTCCCAGGTGATACTGATGCTCTTGATCTAGGCTCTACGCTTTGAGGAAAACGGATTCAAGAGAAGTTTGAAATGTCTTATCTAAGGTTCATGGCTAATAAAGAACAGATCCAGAATTTGAACCTAGATCTGCCTGACTCTACAGTGCTGGAAACCCTGCTACTGCATGTGTTTGCCTTGTGTTCCAAATTCACTGACCTATCCCTAAAGGCAGAAATCACACTTTAGACCTCCCTATGTCCCTCTCAGAACCTTGTGGTGCCTTTGTATTTAGTGGGTGCTACATAAATACTTCGTATACTGGCTTCTACACACTTCTAAGAGGCATAAATTCAATCTCAATTCTAGTCAAAGGACATAAAGAGGGAAACATTACCAGACTCAGTTTTACATGAGACTCTTTCTTGTTACTCTTTGTCCATTATGTCACCACACCTGGATAACTCCTACTCATTCTTCAGTCAGTCACTTCCTGCAGAAAGCAATTCTTGGCTAAAATTGGGGGCCGCCCTAAGTTTATCTCCTGAAAGCAAATATCACTCTATTCTAACTGCCTATTTTCCATCTCTCAAAGTAGTTTGTAAACTCTACCTTCTAGTTCCAAATCGTATCCCCAGAGCCTAGCACAGCACATCATAGACACTCCATAGCTGTTTGCTGAATGTACAAATGAATGAATGAATGCAGAGCTGCAAGCCCCATGTTTCACTTAAAAATATAATGCATGATGTGCAGTTCTCAGGGATGAATTCTAAAAGCCTCCTCTTCTGGAGAAGAGGAGGGCAGCCTAGATAAAAAAGACCGATTTTGCCTTTTCTCTTTCCCATCACTCAGCCCCTGAGAACAGGCGCCACTTAGGGTAGCACCATCTACAATGAGAGAATATGCTAGCTGAACAAAATGCTCTTGGGCTAAAGGTCAACAGAAGCCAATTGGAGAGAAGGAGAGAGCTCTGCACCCCATCATTCCTCCTGATTTCTCTCACACATTCTCCTCCATTTTTCTATCCCACTGCAGTCAAGACTTTTGGCACAGGGATGAAAGAAACAGATCAGACTCAAGGGTGCGGACCTGGCAGCGGGCACAGAAGCATCTCCCATCCTGCACCAAAGCCCACAAGGAAAGATCCAGAGGGACAGTGACTCAGGCCCCAGTGACTTAAGTCCAGCTAGAACAGTACTGAGAATGAAAAAGAGCAACAATTTCACAAGGACATTGTCAGACCTTTTTAAAAAGTGTTTTAAAAGTAGAAGTTTCAACCCTAACCCCAGAAAACTGGGCCCAGCCAAAACCACTGTTTAGACAAGCTGAGAGCCAAACACAGCTTCTTCCCCCTCCCAATTGACCCGCCTGCAACACTCACCATGACAGGCATTTCCCGGGCCGAGGCTAGGACTCTTGCTTCAATCTTAGCTTGCAAAAAGGCTTCTTCCCCAGCTAATAAACTGTTCCCCCACGACCCCCATGTTGCAGTAATAGAGGCCTCCCCCATCCTCCACCCCTTCTCAGCAGATACCATAACCTACAGCAGGTTGGCCCCCTCCAATTTGAATAGCTTCATGCCAAGAAAATTGCTGCTTTTATTAAAAATAAAAGCACACTAGGCAGGCAATGGGCTATGAAAAGTATGAGTCTGGCATAATTATGAAGGTCGAAGTTAAGGTTACTGAAAGAGACATGCAAAGATTTCCAGAAAGCTTGGAGAATAAAGATATCTAGATACAGATACGGAGTTTACACAGTAGACACAGCAGATCTAAATAACATCTTCTCCAATAAAGGAAAAGCGAAAATCAGATGCAACTCTCAAGTAATTCAGAGCGGGGGGTGGGGGTGGGGGACTAAAACAGGAGGAAGAGGGGCCTACTGGACTGATTTTAAAATAACCACATTCATTTCATGTAATTTCTGTTATCTTAGCTACATCCTGGGGACCTGATTACAGTTGGGTCAGGAAACAAATCTAGTCAAATCCACCAAGAGCCTTGGCTCTTAGAAAAACATTCCTATTCTCTGAAAATCCTCTCTTCCTTCCAGTGCCTGCTCATGGTAGTGGGAAAGTTGGGTAGGAGAAAGAAAAGGAGAAACCCCTCTCTTCAGCCCTCATATCAATTATTTCAAGTTTTAGGAAGATGACAAGCCCACCACTCTACATGTGATGTGAAGCTGTACACTTTCACACATAGGTTTTCTCATCTGAAGCTCATAATTCAGTGAGGCACACAAGATTTGACTTGCCAATGTTTTAAAAAATAAAATAAAAAGCCACTGAGGTAAACAATTTCCGGCAACCTCCCCTCACCCTATAAACCCTGTCACTTTCAAATCTCAGTTTCACATTTCTCAAGGACAATGATTCACAGGGCAAGGGAAGGTGGGGAAGGGAGGGTCAACTGGTCAAAACTCATTCATACATTCAACAACTAGAAACCAGAATCTTGCTGCATTAGCCCAAGATTTTCATTTACGGCGCACTGAAAGATTCCCATCGTACCTTCCGCCAACACCTCGTCCACAGTGACCTGCTGTCGCCCAATGCCAAAGACCCTTCCGATGTAGCCACTGCCCAGGCCCGAGGTGCTGCCCCCTCCTCCGCTGGAGCCGGAGCCCAGGCCAGAGCCGCCCTGCTCTCGCCGGGAGTCGAAAAACTTCTTCATATTGCGAATAAGAAGCAGCAAAGCAAAATACCGACAGTTTCTAGATTTTTTGTTTTTAAAGAACACAAGAGATCCAAGGATTTCTTCTCGAATTTCAGCTCGGAGAGGAGCCACCCGAATCCGGCCGTGGGGGGTGGGGGCTGAGGGAGGATGCCTATAGGAATATGCGTGTCAATCGCGCGGCGGTCGCCTCCTCCTTAAGAGAGCGATTCGTGTAAGTTTAAACCTGTGATGACAGAGGAAGAGAGAGGATGAATCAGTAACACACTTAAAAATTCAAGTGCTGAGTCCTAGGGGAAGCAAAAGCCATCATCCTGGGGAAATGCTTCTTGCATTTTCTTAACGAGAAAAACCCTGGGGCTGAAAACGAGTCCCCGGCCCCCAAACCCTGGACACCGTGCCCAAGTCTCAGAAAGAGGAGGGATTCGGGCCGCCTTTGGCAGTGCTGACCCAGCGGAGCACTGCCTCCCCCTCCTCCCTGGTCTCCCCGCCGCCCCGCAAGGCAGCATCCCGGCGGCACCCACTTGAGATGGCTCGGCAGCCGGCGCCCAGCTACCAGCCCCGCAACATTGTCACGGCCGCCGGACCGGCCTGCGACGCGGAGAGGAGGCGGCGCTGCAGCGAGAGCCGCGGCGGCGTTCGGCACCCTCCCGCCCGCCAGCTGATCCCCCCAAGCGCCCGGCGGAGACTGACCCGCCGCCCCTCCCCCGCGCGCGCTCCCGCCCGGCTCCATCCACCCAACCAGGAAGTGAACCGCCGCCGGAAGTGCCTCTAAGGGCGACGCGGCGATGGGCCGGGGCACTCCTGCAGCCGCCGCTCTGTCGCGACAGACGGGAAGGGGTCGTCGGAGAGAAGGGAAAGGGGAAAAGAAGGTGTCAGTGTGGAGACAGTTTTGGAAGAAAACGTTAATATCGCCCGATCCGCAGGGCACCATGGGAAAGGTAGTTCGACGCAGCCCAGCGAGTGAACTACAACTCCCAGGATGCCCTGGAAAAGCCAGCGAGACGGTGGCGGTGGCCTCCTCCACCTCAAAGGTGGTTAGTTGGGTGGTGCATTTGTGGGGATTCAGTTATTTAAACATATCCGGTAAAGAAACTGCAAGGGACTAAGATTTCCAGTCTGCTGCATGTTCCACCCTCTGGAGCCATCTTATTTGCGGCTTGACCTCCCTGCACAAGGGATTCTGGGGTTTGTGGTTTCCAAACGGACGGAGGCTGACACCTGAAGGACGCGGCTTAACCGCTTAGCCCCTACCCAGTCCTGCGGGCCTTACCGACGTGACCTGTGCAGAAGGTGGAAGAGAGGGGGTGATCGGGAAAATTTTGCTGGCAGTTGGAGCAAGGGCCACGCCCTAACAAAAATAAAACCAATGCCCTTCCGACGCAACCTCAAGAGCAGCTTCTGCTCGGAGATGTTATTGAGAACCAGCTCAGCTGTCAGCTAGGCGCTATGAGAGCAGTTAACAGTATCTCATGTGGGAAACTACAGGCGAGACTCAAACCGAGAAACGTAAACGATGTATGCAGGACAGATCCTGGGGTGTCAGGAGATCCGACCCCTTGGCTCTGACCCGAAACTTTGGGGCTTGTCTGCCAACGGTGACCCTTGATTCTTCCACTTTTACTGATGTTGTGGATGAGCCTGACCTTCACTAACCCCCTCCCACATAAGAACCCAAGGCTGACCTTCCGTTTTTTTCTTTTTCACTTCAAGATTGCCCCCTTGATAGTTATTTTGCCCTCATATCTCCTGAGCGCCGAGGATGAGTGTGGACAATGTTACCTGCATCTGTCAAATGCAGATTTGAAAGGCCTTTTAGTACCCTTCTCCATCCTTGAATTTCCTGAGAGATGATGCTGAATAAAGGTAGTGTCAAATCCCTGGCCATTCCTTCCCCCTCCCACCCCCACGCCCCCGCACTCCCAAATTCACTGCTCATCCCACCAAAAA